CTTTTTTTGTCCCTTTGTAACTCTTTTTGTTCCTCGTTTTTTTTGCGCTTTTTCGTTGTTATCGCTTCATTCTAGAGTAGTTCTATCTATTCCCATCAAAAAAGGGTACCCTTACTTTTTTGCTAACAGTGCCTTTAAGGAGAGAGCATCCATAGGGCTGAGATGAGATCTGGGCCACATATTGGAAGAGAAGCACGATCTCAAACCCATGCCACTTGCTGCTGGTCTACTTAAAAGGTTTACCGTAAAATATTCCGAACTGGTCGAAATTCTTACATAGAAGGCGAAGAGCGGAAGGGGTTCGTCAGCCCTGTTGGCCGCTGAAACACGTTATGAACTTCTAGATACTCACTTGAAAATTGTAGCAATCTCTTAACACATGTGTTTTGCTCCTATTCTTCATGGTGAGTGAGAAAACGACTTCAATCCTACAGAGTTCTGACCATTTGAAGAGTTGCTGCCACTCTCCAAACTACAGCAGTTGTTTTTGTGGTGAACAAAACTCCACCGGTATTATTTCGGCCGATAGAAATTCTTCAAAATCGGTATCCGGAACTCACAAAAAAGGGGTGTCAAAGGTGATATTGAGAGCAGGAGAATCGACAGTTTGTGCAAGGGCCGAGCAAGTTTTCAAAATTCAAGAAATAAAATTAAAATGTCAACACCGTTTGAATTTAGTGGAACTAAAATTGTTCATGGTCTAGGTGAAGCCAGAGAGAGAGAAATCCCTTATGAGCCTCCGCTAACAATGTGAATGAAGCTTTGTTGACGGGTTGAGTGCTCCAGGGCGAACAAGTTGAGAAGGTCCTTAAGTGTACCAAAAGGAGTTTAACATACGGGAATCACACGAACACAAAGGCGAGCTTCCCTTGTTGTACCTATTATGCCTTATAAAATGCTGGTAAATCCTTTTAAACGGTTACTGTGCTCCAGAGCCACGGAGCTCGGGTAAAAACATGCTTGTCCACTAAATATCCGTAAAAAGGGAGCTCCGATCTCCATGTGTGTCACAGCGAGCAGCGCTATAAATAGCTTGGCCAACAAGACCCTTTCAAAAAAAGCCGAAGCTCCAATTTGTCGTTTATGCATGTTTAGCACAGGTAGGAAACACGCCCGCGATACGGCGCACCGTTGTCACCATCGATTCACTATTGGTGGCCACATTGCGGGTGTGATGAATAGTGAATGGGAATCTCTATGAATGTAGATGATTTCAAAAATCACGCGTCCTGACCCGCTTGACGGATAGCATCGGGAGGTCATATCAATAAATCCGTCTGATGGATGGCCACGGGAGATTATACCAATGAATCCGTCCAAAAGAGTTGATTCTATTGGAGGAAGATTACACACATAGAAGTGATACTCTGCTCCCAGTTCTCCCAAATGGTTTTCTGGCAAAAACACTCATATGGAGTTGGACATTGGGAAGCCAGCAGAACATCCAAAATGGGCTACAGAATTGTGCGAATCAGTGCACCAACATAGAAGCGAACAAAGCACATTTCTAAGGGTTATAGTTGACAGTAATGCTCAAAAATAGTCATGTATTGAATATGTCTAGGAACAAAACGAAGAAGAGGCCGGTCCAGAAACACGTGGAGAAGAACATCACCAACGAGCTCAAAGCCAGAATGTTCCCATGAATAAAGGGGCAGTTCCTGCACAGGCTAGGGAAAGAATTCTTAATGTAAGTCTATGTAACTAAACCCTGAAATATTTAGATTTTGTTCGAGCAAGAACATCCGTTTGAGATCTCCGTTTTTATTTCATCTCCTGCTTTATATGATCTTGCAGATGCTCGAAACATGGCAAAATCTCCAGGAAAAGCAGCTTTCATAACGAAATAAAGAGGAGTTATCCAGCAAGCTATCTTTTTGGCGATGATTGATTGTCGCTTCTCACCGAGAAAGGCCATTTCATTTCCCGTCTCTATAGTTCCATTCGAGCCATTCTGTTGCCATTCCTTGGCATGAGATTGATTTCCCAATCATTCACCTCTTCATCTCAAATTAAGTGGTGGTATGAATACTTTGATTTTGGAAATTCTTAAGAGGTGGGGGACTGGAGCGAGTTGTTGTAGCTCTTCACCCTACACAGTGAGCAAAGGATTGGAAAGGAAAGGTAAGGATAAAGGTGTAATCAAGGAAGAAAAGTTCCCCAAACAAGCTTCTTACTGTGTAAGAATCTTCATCACTTGAGGTTCTATTTGTTCGTCTGGGAGTATGATAACTAACCATAAGAAGAATCATAAGAGACCTATCGAAGTTCTCGGTGAAGACTGCTTCAAGGGCCTTTTAGATCAAGGTATTCACTGGCCAGAAGACGGAAATTTCGTCAAGAAAGCCTTTGGAGACCTTCCAGGTGTTTCAAATAGATCCCAAAATGAACAACAGAGGCTAGAGTCCGTCAATGACCAACAGTCCTCTGCCTTACATATGAATCGCACTGCAAACTGTGGCCCAGTGAAACCGCAAGTTATCTTCCTTTACGAGAGTCGACAAGAAGTCTCTGCCACACTTGCAAAAAGGCAAAAAGAGGAAGTTGGGGTTCGAAATTTTTAATAGTTTTAGATGAAAGTGTAACCTAAGAATAATCTCACTCAGAGAAATTGACCCCTTGAAAGGACAGATGGCGAACTTCCTCATTTTCACAAGGACGCACGCGGCAGACACCATAATCATCTGCC